AGGGGCCCGTTGGCAGCTCAGGTCTCTGTGTCCCCTGTCTGCCCCTCTCCGAACAGCCCCGACGGTGGGCATCTACCCCTGCACAGCACTCACAGGGTTAAGCTGTTGTTTGCTTTGGACACTTCACCCGAAGGAGAGATTAAAAATTAGCAAGTGAGCTATGGCTAATAGGTGAAAGTGTCCTGAGGCTAATTACTCAGCCCTGATGCATCTATCTGTTGCCACTCATGGCTGCTTTGCAGGTAAACAAGGGAAAGTGCCTCTTGGGGCTCCTGTGATCAGTGGTGGACAAACCTGGGTCGGGAGAGCTGCTCCATGGCCAGGGACAAGGGGGAAGTCACAGGCCGGGAGCAGCTCAGTGTCACAGGCTGAGCTCTGGTGACACGGACACCCCACGCCCCCGCTATCGCAGCCCCGTGCCCGGGCTGCTCGGGGGCTGTTTGCAGAGGGGACCCTGCAGGGCTCGGCTGGGCCCGGCTGCAGCCCCTGGCCTTTGCTGGTTCCCAGGCTCTGCCCACTGGAGCGGGCAGGAGGGTCCCAGCCCCGGACCCGGATGGGATTCAGCCCATCCCTTGGGCACCCCTTGCACTGAGCCGCACCACGCCACCCGCACGAGGGCAGGCCAAAGCATCTGCTTCGTTAGCAAATGGGGCCCTTGTTCACCTTCGCACGGTGCTGGGGCAAATGCTGTCCCCCAAACTCGCCAATAGCCAGGACCCCCTAACTAGTCAGGATTTGCACCACCAGCACTGTTTTATCACTGATTTTATGTCTGCAGCGGTCAGCGAGCAGATCCCTCATGTCGCAAAGCCCAGTCCTGCTCACAGCCAAGTCAGTGGAGGTTTTCCCAGTGAAATCATGGGTACTGGGGGGCATGTCCTGACCACCGCTGGTAGGATGCCTGCTCAGCCAGGACCAACCTTTCTATGCTTGTACTTATAAAGTTCATGGAGGAGCGGCTGGTTCACCTGATGTGTGTGCTCGTGTCCAGGGGGACCTGGGTGGGCTGGAGAAGTGGGCCAGCA